TCTATTTGTAGGACACATTAGTGTATTGGTGGGATGATGATGTTATTGAATAATCAAGCTTTTGCATTCTATTTGTAGGACACATTAGTGTATTGGTGGGATGATGATGTTATTGAATAATCAAGCTTTTGCATTCTATTTGTAGGACACATTAGTGTATTGGTGGGATGATGATGTTATTGAATAATCAAGCTTTTGCATTCTATTTGTAGGACACATTAGTGTATTGGTGGGATGATGATGTTATTGAATAATCAAGCTTTTGCATTCTATTTGTAGGACACATTAGTGTATTGGTGGGATGATGATGTTATTGAATAATCAAGCTTTTGCATTCTATTTGTAGGACACATTAGTGTATTGGTGGGATGATGATGTTATTGAATAATCAAGCTTTTGCATTCTATTTGTAGGACACATTAGTGTATTGGTGGGATGATGATGTTATTGAATAATCAAGCTTTTGCATTCTATTTGTAGGACACATTAGTGTATTGGTGGGATGATGATGTTATTGAATAATCAAGCTTTTGCATTCTATTTGTAGGACACATTAGTGTATTGGTGGGATGATGATGTTATTGAATAATCAAGCTTTTGCATTCTATTTGTGGGACACATTAGTGTATTGGTGGGATGATGATGTTATTGAATAATCAAGCTTTTGCATTCTATTTGTAGGACACATTAGTGTATTGGTGGGATGATGATGTTATTGAATAATCAAGCTTTTGCATTCTATTTGTGGGACACATTAGTGTATTGGTGGGATGATGATGTTATTGAATAATCAAGCTTTTGCATTCTATTTGTAGGACACATTAGTGTATTGGTGGGATGATGATGTTATTGAATATCAACCTTTGGCATTCTATCTATAGGACACATTTTGAATTTTTAGGATTTTAAGGTTATTGAATATGAACCCGCTCTAAGGACCTTTAAGGCTTTATTTTGTCTAGTAATTAAACATCGTATGCTTATTTTTTTAAAAAAACGTATATTCTAATTGTTGCTATATTTTAAGTGTATTATTCCAAAAACTGGACTTTCTGAAAATTTACGTCCAAAAGTTCCCATTTCTTCATTATTAAAAAAAACAACAACAAATGGTTCATCTTGTAACAACGACAAATGGTTCATCTTGTAACAACAACAAATGGTTCATCTTGTAACAACGACAAATGGTTCATCTTGTAATTTTTCTCAACAACAAAGGAGATCTTATTTTTATTTTTTATTTTTTTTTTTTGAGCGCCTAGTGTACACATGGCTGTTGACAAGAACTCGTTCAATTTATATTGTTTATTTACTTATAAATGTACATGTAAGGGGGTGTTTGTAGACATGGGCGCCCGCAGGGGGGGGGGGCAATGGGGTCACTTGTCCCCCCCCCCTGGATTGATTGGATAAAAAAAATTTAGACAAAAATAGACAAAAAATTTATTAAAGAAAAGAGAAAATAAAGAGAAAGTAACTAAGCTGATGTCCTGTCCGTTCGTTCATAATACAAATACGCTACAGGGAATTAAAACTACATTAAAATATTGCTAAAATTTTTTGCCCCCCTCCCTAGAAAGTTTTCTGTGGGCACCCATGTCCGTAGAAACCTATTTCAACCCCCCCCCCCC